GTGGCTCACTCAGGAGAGCGTGGTGCTGACAACACCAAGTCAAGGGTTAAGATCCCCTTACCGGCTATCTTTAAAAAAAAAAAGAAAAAAAAAAATTAACTTCTATCTCCCCCCACCCGCCCCCCCCCCCCCCAATTCAGACTGGTTTGTATTTTACAGCCCAGAGTAAATAAGGTAGAAGGACTTAAGTGGTCTATTTTAAAAAGATTTCTTTTCCCTTGTAAATGCTGAACTCTGAGGAGGAGAAGAGGAAAGAGATCAAGTTGAGGGAGAAAGTGAGGTTGTGAGAATGGAAGGAGATGAGATTAAATGTGTATTTTTATGTACAGATATACTTTGATTTCTATGTATTTCGTATATAGAAAGAGAAGTGAGTTGTTATGACTGGCATAGTGGGGGTTATGGATCAGAAATCCAGATTTGTTCCTATCTTTGAGTATCTTTGGTTAGGGAGGATAATTAAGGCATTAATGCAGTGCAGTTGGAAGATTTTTGACATGATACTAAAATAATTCAAACTCTTTTAAGAAGAGTAGGATCTGGGAAACATTAAGTGATGGAGAATGTGCTCTCTGAGAATAAATGAACAAAATTGCATTAGCGCAGGGAAATGAAAAATAATAATACCAAAACTCTAATGGCAGAGAAGTAATACTTTAGGAAAGATATGAAATTGGTAGCTGGGTTATGTTAAAACACATTCCTACCTCTGATGACAAATTGTATTTCACTCTGGCAACTCTTCGAATTTACTGTGCCGAAATTTGCTTAATCACACAGTACATACGCTTTTCTTTTTGTAGGCGGCACTCCCCCTATCGCACACTGGAGCCAGTGCGTCCTCCAGTGGTACCAAATGATTACGTACCTAGCCCAACCCGTAATATGGCTCCCTCGCAGCAGAGCCCTGTGAGGACAGCTTCTGTGAATCAAAGAAATCGAACTTACAGGTATTTTCTCTACCTCAGTGCAAAATGTGATGGTCATAGTACCACAATCTATTCAGATAAGTTAAATCTCTCTCATTTTCCAACCACTGAGTTCTTTTCCTCACTCTATTCTCCCAAACCTCATTTGATTCCACTTCTCTCTCCTCATGTTCTGATGCAACTTTGAGCAGTCAGGAAGTTGAAAAAGAATAGACATCTTAAAGTGCAAACTTCTCTACAAGGTTAATAGTTTAGTTGATCTGAAAAAAAATTATGGACCAGATGTGGGAAAATTCAAGTTGTTTTTTGGTGCAACTTTACAGATGAAAAACTACACAATACAACATTAATATGAGATAGTATATCAAGATATCATACAAGTTAAAATTAATCAAACAATTTGTTTAGGAAAATGTTTTTATTATAAAAGAAGTTTCCTCAGGCATTGAACTGGAGTATAAGAAGGTAATATTTATTATTTTGATGTGTTGAGCCCCAGCTCTTATCACTTATATTTATGGAGAATTTTTTCTTAATTTCTTTAATACATGCTTATTAAAAGGTGGTCAAAACAAGTTTATTGAACCCAGCCTTTTCTCCAGCTTCATTAAGAAATTCAGATTTGAAGTGGAAGGCTTTTGAATTATTTTTATTGTAGCTATATTAATTTTAGAAAATTTGGGGAAATGCTGATGATATCTTCCTATTTATAAATACTCATATTTTGGTGGCTCTTATTTCTTTAGCAGCAGTGGGAGCAGTGGTGGAAGCCACCCAAGTAGTCGGAGCAGTAGTCGTGAGAACAGTGGAAGTGGGAGTGTGGGAGTTCCTATTGCTGTTCCTACTCCATCTCCTCCAAGTGTCTTTCCAGGTAAAACATTAATGGTGCTTCATCTTCAGTTTTCCTTTCTGAATTTGAATTCAATTTGTGAATTAATTACAGTGGGCTTTCTTCATAATCAGGATTTTTCTTCCTTTAGGATTCCGTAAATGTTGGGAAGTCTTTATACATTTGTTATTTTTAATTAAGTGATTTGTAAGTTTTCGCTCACTTTGCACTTCTCTGTTGTTTGGTTTTATGCCTTTGGTACTATGGCTTAGCTGGTTCTTTGAGGTTTTAAGCACCACTTTGGTATCAGTTACATGTTTAATTCTAGCTAGTGTTATAACAGTGCATGTCTTTGGACATAGTAGAGACTCTGTGAGAATATTGGTAACAATGGACTGGGAAAACGTAATAGTAGTCTTGACAGTTATATTTAGTGAACTATTGGAATTTGGTCTCTGAAACAGAAAACTGTGCTTATTTGATCTGAGGACCCAGGGTTAAAATTTATTTTTAAAAGCCTGATACAAAAGGCTTAAGGATAAAATGTTACGTATTTGGTTTACTTATAGTAACAAGTAGATAATACCTTTTTTAAAAGTTACGAAATAGATTTTTAAAAAATTCTTTTTTACCAGTTAAGATATTGTCTGTTTTCTGATTTGTGTAATTCAGAATGGAATACTGTGTTTTTGTGTGTATTATGTTTAGTTTTGTATATTATTTACAGACTGTTATGCTAAAAAAGACAATATAAAGGGAGCACTTTTCTTTTTTTTTTTTTTTTTTTTTTTTTTTTTTTTTTTTTTTTTTTTTTTTTTTTTTTAAAA